CTATGAAAAAAGATACCAGGGGCATCTCATGGGGCCCCCTACTGACCCCGGGCCCTCGGGCAGTGCCCGAGTTTCCAAATGGTCAGTCCGCCCCTGCTCCAAGCAGAGAGTGCCACGGTTGAGATTTGAACCGACAACCCTGCTTCTAGGCAAAAGGGCAAACCACTCAGCCACTGTGCTGCAGTATGTAAAAGTCCTACTTTTTGTGAGATATTCCCTTTTAAAGAGTATATAAATCTCACAATGCACACATCAAGTAACTTTTAATTGCAGCTCTGTAATAATATATGAAATATTTTAGCAGGTAACTTTTGCACTTTTTACTTTTTCATATCTCATAAATATATTACACAGAATATGTACCAAAAGGCCAAGCATCTATTATTTCTTCACAATGACACTCATTTAATAGCCATTAAAATGCAAATATGTCTATGATTTTTAAATCAGGGAATTAACATTAACAGTTGGATGATTGATTAAAGGTCACGGAGTCTGTATAACTTAATTTCTCGGATAATAATTGTGTTTGGGTTTTCTGCAGATTGTTTGGGATTCACTGTTAATTTTATCTGTTGACAGGTGAATAATTTGCTTGTTAACTAATTATTCAAAATATTGGTGGATTATTGCAGGCAGCAGAAGAAGGAACTTGGGTCGTACTTCAGAACTGCCACTTGGCAACAAGTTGGCTCACAGAGCTTGAACACATCTGTGAAGAAGTGATCACAGATCCTGAAAAGACCAAGTCTAGCTTTCGCTTATGGCTGACTAGTTACCCATCCAAAGATTTTCCTGTATCAGTCCTACAAAATGGAATAAAGATGACCAATGAACCCCCAAAGGGACTAAGGGCAAACCTGCTCAAGTCATACCTCAGTGATCCAATTTGCAATCAGGCTTTCTTTAATGGCTGTAACAAACCAAAGGTAGGCTGCTTTTACTGTGTCAGTGCATTCAACAAGCTCATTAGTGTCTAGGGCGAACATTCACAAAGCTTAACTGGATAGGAGGACAATTGATGTTAAAACTGGTATCGATGCGGTATTCATTAATGACTTCAATAGTTATGCTTTTCAGTTCCAAATAATATGTGGTTGGTTAACTAGTAAATACCTTTGTTGCTGGCATTCAGTGCTTAGTTAAAATGCTTTCAATAGATGCTCTGTGGTGAGAAGAGGAGGAGCTCCTGTGTCAAAGAAATGCATGAATTTATAATAGCAATTTCCTTTCTAGAAAGGTTTAGTTTAATAATTATCTGTACAAAAGAGGTCCACAGCTGTAGTTCAAACCTGCTACAGATCAACACTATTTGGCAATGTACATAAATAAGCAGATAAAAGCAGCAGATAAAAGCCATAATGACTAAAATCTTTCTGATTTGGCTATGTGTGTCTTTGTTCAAATTTATAACAAATATGGTGATCACTTTAAAGCTGAACTCCAGGCAAAACAAATACAAGAGGCATGTGGATTATTGCTTGAATCTTGATGTCTCTGTGCATTTCTTCCAGAACTGTGCAAGATTCTACAATAGTGAGAATCTTTGCCTCTGTGCAAGCACTTCCTGTAATAAAGACCGGTCACTGCTCCTTTTCTTTATGCAGAGTGACTGGTCTTGTCTCCGCCCCCTGCAGTTTTCTGCAGGCAGCCTGTAGTCGGTGGAGCTACTGGGCCCCTCCCTCAGTTCTGTTCTCTACACAGGCCATGTACAGCACAGTGGTAATATTACTACTACCTTTGCCAGGTAATATTTGGGTTTGAAAACGCATTTGTTGCATGCAAAGTGGATTCATATCCTTTGTGGCTATTGATGAAAGTTTTCAAGCCCAGAGTTCAGCTTTAACATGCTCGTGCATTTTAATAAAGATATGCACTTGTCAGGGCTGCTATTAGAAACCACGGGGCCCCATACAGCCAACCTGAAAGGGTCACCCCTAAAGAAATAAACAGTTTACTATGCTTTAGTTATGAACACTGTGAGTGATTGGTACCTATCAATCATTGTATTCATTCAGGAAAGGAAGGGGCTGATAAATGTGACATATTTACCGCACCCTTCCCCCACTCTCCATCCTGAAGGATACTATTGTGTGCTTGCAGCTGCCAGAGGAGGGAAGCTGGCAGCACCGTGGGGGCACATAGGGGGGCCTGGGCAGCAGGGGAAAACATTTGGTGCACAGGAAGGGTGATGGGTGAGACGGGGAGCAATTACTGGAACCCATCCCCTGTATGGCTCTCTCTGAAGTAGCTGAAATCTAGCAGGAGGGAGAGGAGAGGAAGCCAGCTTTCAGATGCTGCAGACAGAGCCATACAGGGGATCCATTGATTGCCAGTAATTGCCCTCCTGCTGTGCCAGTCACCCTCTCTGCTCACATCTGATTCACCCAGCTGTCTAGACCCCCCTGCTGGCCTGGGCCCTCTACAGGAGGACTGGTGGTACCCCCTTATCCACAGCCCTGGCATTTGTCATATAGACTTATACATGTAATAGCACACACTCCCTCCTCTATTTAATTTTGTTCCTTTGCAAACATAGCTTCATGACTTCCACTAAATAATAAGATAACAATGACCTTTACCCAGTTTAGTAAAAAGTAAAGTAAACTAATAAAAGTTGCTTTAGCAATATAACTCAGTTACAGAAGAACACAGTTGAAGCATTCAGTAAAGAAATTGTATACAAAGTCAACTTTTTAGCCATTGTAAACTTTTTAATGGCTAAGAGCAGACACAACAAGATATCTGCTCTTACATTCTTTGTGTGTACATGCCTGTGTTCCCCGCTGTGTGCTATGGTTCCATCTCCTAACTTCTACATCACTGCTGAGTCCTGTAGTGACACAGGAGCCAGAAGATGGAACCACAGCTCACAGCAAGCATTCAACACTTCCAGAAGCTGCCTTCCCTATCCCTTCTGTACACAGATCTGGCAGGCCCTCTAGCAGACCCATTTTTGCCTCCTCCAATTGCTGCTGTTTTTTGTGATTTCTGCAGCCTGGCCATTAAAAATCTACTGCTCGGCTGCCCATCCTACAAACAGTTGCTCCTGCTATATTGGTATATCCCAAAACAAATATTTTGGTCGGATTTTCAAGCATATTTCCTTGGGTAAACATGGAGAATTTTTTTTTCCTCCAAACCTTTTTCTTTCTTTTATTTTTCAGACGCCTATTCAGGTCTAATTAGACAAATGTTTATACAGTGTTGATCGTTTTTTTTTTTTGCTTTGCCTAAAAGTATAAAATTGGTCATAAAACTGAAATTATGATCATTTTAACATTCTGTTTTTAAATCACAACACGGACTAATTCTGGAAATATGCCAGCAACTTTATGAGCAAAAATTAATTGTTTTATAAATATTATATGAGTGCATGCCTTTTTATAAACAAACCATTTAATTACGAAGCAAAGTGTTTGAGCGATATATTCATACACATCCCAACAACAGCAGTGACAATACTGTGAAATTGGGGCAATAAATAATGAAATCTGACCTTTTAATCTGTACATCTTGTCCACTGCATTTGGCAGGGTTCATATTGAATACAAAGAAGAGAATGCTAATCCAAGGAATGGGATCCCTTGTTTTCATGCTCCATCATCAAAATGTCAACAGAAATGATAGTTCCTAGGATAGGGGAAATTCTCTTTGCAGCTGTGCTGAGAGGTCTCTTGACATGTATGCCAACAAAAATCCAGTCACATCACTCAGATTTTTCATCTTCCAGTTTATTTTGTTGTATGTCTGCTGCAGAGTAACCTTGTCGTGATTGAAAGATAGCTGAACTATTGCAAGAATATTCTGCGCCATGTAATGACTTGTTCAATATGTCATTGTTCTAGTTTCATAAATGTACAGCACATTGTCTGTGACGTGTCTTCTGGCATGCTTGCAAGTACAGAGAAACAGACACAAACTGCAGATTACCATATATATTTTATTATGCCTCATACAACCAAAATTCAACTAATATTTGATAAAGGAATCCAGCGAATCGCAGCCAAAAAAAAAAAAGAAACCTGCATCATGTAGACCTAAAGTCAACCATTTGTATTTAATTGTGTGAAGAAAACAGAATATATTCATTCTTTATTAATATACTGCACAAGGTTATTACATTTCACTTTACCTAGTTTTTTTGATAAGCTTGACACTTTGGCTCATGTTCCAGGCACAGTTGCTACACATGAACTGCCTGAAATCCCCCACTGCACACTCAGAAGGTGGGAGGCAGGTTGTGAGGTCATGTATTTGACAAGCAGCAAATGGGAGATTTCAAGTGACCTTTGACCTTGTGATTACTTCAGCAGTTGCAACTCCTAAATTTCTATCCTGACAGCTTATTCTTTAGTTGAAATGTTATAGAAATAAATTGGATTTTCCTTTCTATGTTGCTATTTTTCTTCCACAATGAACACAGAACAATAGTGTGTTTAAAAATATATACTGTAGATGTAACACGCTCCTAGATAGATGCTAGGTTAGGTAAATTAGGTCTTAGCGCCACTGTAATCAGCTCAGCTGCTTGTACCGTATTTTTTGTTCCATAAGATGTACTTTTTTCCCCCCCAAAAAAAATGTCTGTGCGTCTTATGGAGCGAATATGGAGCGGCTGGCCTGGTATTCCCGCTGCCGCTGTGTTAGAATACCGGGCCAACCACTCAGCTCTTCTGTGCAGCAGAACCTGCTCCTGTCTTACCTGTTCCTCGGTCCAGCGGTGTCCTCACCGTCTTCTCTCCCCGGCACTGGCATCTTTAGTGTGGGCACCCGGCTGTGACAGCTTGCGGCCTCACAGCCGGGTGCCCACTGCGCATGTGCGAGAAGTACTGCGCTTTGTGAATGGTCCGGCAGTTTTCTGGGACCTGTCATGTGTCCCAGAAGACGGGGAGGGAGGACAACTCCACGGAAGTGGGAGCGGGTACCTGTCAAATTCGGGTACCCACTCCCCAAAGTTCCACAGTCTCCTGTACTATGTCCGCAGTCTCTGGTCATCTCCTGTACTGTGTCCGCAGTCTCTGGTCATCTCCTGTACTATGTCCGCAGTCTCTGGTCATCCCCTGTACTATGTCTGCAGTCTCTGGTCATCTCCTGTACTATGTCCGCAGTCTCTGGACATCTCCTGTACTATATCCGCAGTCTCTGGTCATCTCCTGTACTGTGTCCGCAGTCTCTGGTCATCTCCTGTACTATGTCCGCAGTCTCTGGTCATCTCCTGTACTATGTCCGCAGTCTCTGGTCATCTCCTGTACTATGTTCGCAGTCTCTGGTCATCTCCTGTACCATGTCCGCAGTCTCTGGTCATCTCCAGTACCGTGTCCGCAGTCTCTGGTCATCTCCTGTACTATGTCCGCAGTCTCTGGTCATCTCCTGTAGCATGTCTGCAGTCTCTGGTCATCTTTTGTACTATGTCTGCAGTCCCTGGTCATCTCCTGTAGTATGTCTGCAGTCTCTGGTCATCACCTGTACTATGTTCGCAGTCTCCGGTCATCTCCTGTAGTATGTCCACAGTCTCTGGTCATCTCCTGTAGTATGTCCGCAGTCTCTGGTCATCTCCTGTAGTATGTCCACAGTCTCTGGTCTTCTGTACTATGTCCGCAGTCTCTGGTCATCTCCTGTACTATGTTTGTAGTCTCTGGTCATCTCCTGTAGCATGTCTGCAGTCTCTGGTCATCTTTTGTACTATGTCTGCAGTCCCTGGTCATCTCCTGTAGTATGTCCGCAGTCTCTGGTCATCTCCTGTACTATGTCCGCAGTCTCTGGTCATCTCCTGTACTATGTTCGCAGTCTCCGGTCATCTCCTGTAGTATGTCCACAGTCTCTGGTCATCTCCTGTAGTATGTCCGCAGTCTCTGGTCTTCTGTACTATGTCCGCAGTCTCTGGTCATCTCCTGTACTATGTTTGTAGTCTCTGGTCATCTCCTGTACTATGTACGCAGTCTCTGGTCATCTCCTGTATTATGTCTGTAGTCTCTGGTCATCTCCTGTACTGTGTCTGCAGTCTCTGGTCATCTCCTGTACTGTGTCCGCAGTCTCTGGTCATCTCCTGTACTATGTCCGCAGTCTCTGGTCATCTCCTGTACTATGTCCGCAGTCTCTGGTCATCTCCTGTACTATGTTCGCAGTCTCTGGTCATCTCCTGTACCATGTCCGCAGTCTCTGGTCATCTCCAGTACCGTGTCCGCAGTCTCTGGTCATCTCCTGTACTATGTCCGCAGTCTCTGGTCATCTCCTGTAGCATGTCTGCAGTCTCTGGTCATCTTTTGTACTATGTCTGCAGTCCCTGGTCATCTCCTGTAGTATGTCTGCAGTCTCTGGTCATCACCTGTACTATGTTCGCAGTCTCCGGTCATCTCCTGTAGTATGTCCACAGTCTCTGGTCATCTCCTGTAGTATGTCCGCAGTCTCTGGTCATCTCCTGTAGTATGTCCACAGTCTCTGGTCTTCTGTACTATGTCCGCAGTCTCTGGTCATCTCCTGTACTATGTTTGTAGTCTCTGGTCATCTCCTGTAGCATGTCTGCAGTCTCTGGTCATCTTTTGTACTATGTCTGCAGTCCCTGGTCATCTCCTGTAGTATGTCCGCAGTCTCTGGTCATCTCCTGTACTATGTCCGCAGTCTCTGGTCATCTCCTGTACTATGTTCGCAGTCTCCGGTCATCTCCTGTAGTATGTCCACAGTCTCTGGTCATCTCCTGTAGTATGTCCGCAGTCTCTGGTCTTCTGTACTATGTCCGCAGTCTCTGGTCATCTCCTGTACTATGTTTGTAGTCTCTGGTCATCTCCTGTACTATGTACGCAGTCTCTGGTCATCTCCTGTATTATGTCTGTAGTCTCTGGTCATCTCCTGTACTGTGTCTGCAGTCTCTGGTCATCTCCTGAACTATGTCCGCAGTCTCTGGTCATCTCCTGTACTATGTCCTCAATCTCTGGTCATCTCCTGTACTATGTCCGCAGTCTCTGGTCATCTTCTGTACCGTGTCCGCAGTCTCTGGTCATCTTGTACTGTGTCCGCAGTCTCTGGTCATCTCCTGTACCACGTCTGCAGTCTCTGGTCATCTCCTGTACTATGTCTGCAGTCTCTGGTCATTTCCTGTACTATGTCTGCAGTCCAATGGTTCAAAATATTTTTTTTCTTGTTTTCCTCCTCTAAAACGTAGGTGTGTCTTATGGTCAGGTGCATCCTATGGAGCAAAAAATACAGGATTTTGGGCTGATCTGTGTCTCACTGGTTGCAGGCTTGGCTGCTCGCCTTTGCTTTCTGGAGGATTTTGGAAAGTAGTGGGCTGGAAGAGTCAAATCAGCAGCTGAATATTTATACAAAGCGAGCCATTCCCTGGGGGGGATGCTCAGATGGTGGCTGAGAAGGAACATAAAAAGTCTGGGTTCTGGATTAGTGGGCTCCTTGTCCAGAAGGAAGAGATTACAGCCTGAAGGGCTGCTACCCCTCTGGGCTGTCCAGCTGTGCTTCTACTGCTCATCAAGGTCCCAGCTATGCTAACTGGGGGGCCTATTCTGTTGAATTTTTGCTTGAGCTTACCATGGGACTTCTTTTGGGGGATCTGGTCTTAAATCTTCAAAGTAAAAATGTTTGGAAGGTATTGAAAGGAGGCATCCAATTACCCAAGAAAATTAGTGAGTACAGACCCGTGTGAGAGATCCCAGTGACTGTGTATAGCTGCTATCCCTCTTATATTAGAGTCAAAATTACTCAAATAGGACATTGTTCATGGTGTCCCAGTGTAGCACAGCCACAAAGACTGTGCTCTGATTTCTAGCAGGAAAATTTGTGTCCTCAAGCTATCACTTAACGTTGCTGGAATATCATGCACCCATCCAAATTCAAGTCTGCAACACAGCATCAAAAAAAGAGCCCTAGATTGAGCCAGAAGAGTGACTGCTAGAACACCCATTGGGAAAGAACCTTGGGACCCAAACAGCGGGCTATATATATATATATATACCCTGTTCCAAATTATTATGCAAATTATATTTTTTTCATTTACCTAAATAATTGATGTAAATAACAGCCAGCAAAATTCTCATGTTATCAACTATTAAGAGTACAATTCATATTTTATTGAACAAACCTCCTAATGATAACAGGATTTTTTTTAAACATAACAAAACTTACAATGCACTGTTCCTTATTATTACGCACAGTAAGTTTCAAAACACTTTATAGGTTGTAAAGAACTGAAAATTGTCATTTGTTGTGTTTGCAGCATATTTACTGAAATCAAAAGCTATTTTTAATCAAACTTTTAACAACATTTTTAACTTTTTAAACATTTTAACAGGTCAGGTTACATTGTAACATAGGACCCCTTATTTGATAGCAGCTTCACAAGTCTTGCATCCATTGAACGTGTGAGTTTTTGGACAGTTTCTGCTTGAATTTGTTTGCAAGATGTCAGAATAGCCTTCCAGAGCTGCTGTTTGGATGTAAACTACCTCCCACCCTCAAAGATCTTTTGCTTGAGGATGCTCCAAAGGTTCTCAATAGGATTGAGGTCAGGGGAGGATGGAGGCCACACCATGACTTTCTCTCCTTTTATCCCCATAGCAGCCATTGATGCAGAGGTATTCTTTGCAGCATGAGATGGTGCATTGTTATGCATGAAGATGATTTTATTACGGAAAGCATAATTCTTCCTTCTGTACCAGGGAAGAAAGTGGTCAGTCATAAACTCCACATACTTTGCAGAGGTCATCTTTACACCTTCGGGGACCCTAGAGGGGCCAACCAGCTCTGTTCCCATGATTCCGGCCCAAAACATGACTCCACCACCGCCTTGCTGACGTCGCAGCCTTGTTGGAACAGGGTGGCTGTCCACCAACCATCCACTACTCCATCCATCTGGACCATCCAGGGTTGCAGGGCACTCATCAGTGAATAGGACTGTTTGAAAATTAGTCTTCATGTATTTTTCTGCCCAATACAGCAATTTCTGCTTGTGAGCATTGGTTAGTGGTGGCCGAATAGAAGGTTTATGCACAGTTGCAAGAATCTGGAGAACTCTACACCTTGATGTCTGTGGGCACCAGCAGCCTCAAATATCTGTTTGCTGCTATGTAATGGTATTTTAGCAGCTGCTCTCTTGATCTGATGCATGGATCTGGCAGAAATCTTCCTCAATGTGCCTTTAGCTGCACGAACCCGTCTGTGCTCTGAATCAGCCACAAATCTCTTAATAGTGCGATGATCACGCTTACGTTTTAGTGAAATATCTAATGTTTTCATACCTCCTCCAAGGCATTGAACTATTTCACCCTTTTCAGCACCAGAGAGATCCTTTTTCTTCCCCATATTGCTTGAAAATGGTGCTCTGCTTAATAATGTGGAACACCCTCCTTTAGTAGTTTTTCCTTAAATTGGGCTCTCCGGCCAATCTAATTATCACAGGTGTCCGAGATTGTTTTCAGTGATCAAAAGAGCCCTGAGACACAATGCCATCCATGAATTAAACTGAAAAACAAAATATTTAATTTTTGTCACACTTAAATAGAATTTACATAATAATTTGGAACAGGGGGTGTGTATATATATATATATATATATATATATATATATAAAATCATACAATTCCTCTCTTGAATCTGGCATTTGGGCTGTGGAAGAGATTGGGTAGGACCAAAGCCTGGCACCCCAGTCCAGCTATCCACCTACCAGGATACCAAACTCATTAAAAGAACTGGGAGACCTCACAGGAAAGAACAATGAAAAAGACATTTTAAGGCCCGTTCACAGTTGCCCGCATGCTAAACCATAGCAGTTTAGCATTCAGGCAGCAGTTCGTACAGTGCAGCAGCGGGCAATGTGATGCATATTTTATCGCATCACACAACATACTTTTTATATGTTTGTTTCAACCTTATGTGCAGTGTACAAAATTATCTTTCATTCATGTCACTGCACAGCAGCATGGTGCGCTGCACTTGCTGTGTGGTGAAATGCAGGACTATTAAGGGAGGTGTGATATTATGCAAACATGTTGCATAATAATACACAGCTCTGGAACTCAGTGAAACACTACATTCTGACATGAACATAACACATAAAACTACTAGTTTTTGTATGTCATTGCAGTTACCTGCATTAGGCACCGTTCACACCTATGCAGTTTGCTTTTTGTCCATTTTGCGGTGCTTTTCGCCAGTTCATTTTGTGTTTTGCTACACGCATTTTTCACATGTTTTTAATGTATTTTTGACGCGTTAATACAGCATTTTGTATTTTGTTCAGCTTCTTTTTTTTTTTTAAAGTAGAATTTTTTATTTTTGCTGGGCAGAATAAAAATGCAAAACGTGGCCAAAACGCACTACCATGCATTTCAGCAGATTCTCCATTGAACTCTATTGTAGCAAAAACACTGCTTTTTGCTTTTAACCACTTGCCTATTGGGCACTTACACCCCCTTCCTGCCCAGGCCAATTTTCAGCTTTCAGCTCTGTCGCACTTTGAATGACAATTGCGCGGTCATGCAACACTGTACCCATATGAACTTTTTAGCATTTTTTTTTCT